GGTGCATGATTTAGGGCAAAGCTGAGTCAATCAGACCGGCTAGGAAGAAGCAGTCGGATCAGAAGAGGGCTGATTGAGCACAGAATGCTTAAAGGCAAATTGAGGCAATAGCAACAGGTTGCTTTAACGCAAAGAAATCAACAAAAATAGCTTCATTACCTAACTTGCCTTGATTCATCTCCTCCCAATACTTGATGGCTAGAGTGAAGACAAACAATAAGGCGGAGGTTTTAGTTGGTGTAACTGATTGTAAAGGTGATTGCAGTGCTAGAGTCAAAAGGCATGCACGAGCACAGCATCCTCCGTGGCAGCAGTAACCACCCAATTGTCGTCTCGAAGGTGGGTTTGAGAGGTGACCCGGGGCCCGGCACTAATCAGTGCCGGATCACAGGAGCCTCGAAAACCAATCACTTCGTGGTTAGTACAGATGAGCACTTTTAGCCTTAGCGACGTACAAATGGGGCATTACGTCTGCCAGCCTCGAGGGCTTCGGTTGCTTTTAATTTGGTGCTGGGGATATTTGGCCTGATCTGCCAAGGGAGAAAGCAAAAGCAACTTGAGCCGGAATCAGGAAATGAAGCTTTAAGCGAAAGATAAGGCAAGATTGAATCTTGAATTGAGAAGAGTTAGTTTAGCAGAACGGTAGTGATCTTTGGTAGTTTCAAAGGATGTTAGAAAGAATGGATGCATGCCACACCATCAGATGAATGAAAGGTTCGACGGTACCATGAAAATTCATTTGCTCTAACTCCCGAAAGACCTGCTTCTTCAGGATGAAGCTCAGTTCTGATTTCTCCTGACCCCCATCAACACCCACAACAGGCATCGAATATGCGGAATGAGTGTCAAGCGGCAAACTTAACACAACCAAGGTTACTAGTGGGTCGCATGGCAGACATGACATTTACGGCAACCCAGGCACTTTCCAACTCAACTTTATGTGATGTGATTGATTTTGCTTATATAAATATGTATATATACCCATAATAAAATTATAAAATAATCTTATGCATAAGATACATATAATATATATATGACAATAATATTATTGCATCATATACATTATACTGTATATATTAAAATATTATATTACAATTTAAATATATACAGTATTCTAATTATATATTATACATTATATATACGTATACATAAACTATATCGAATATAGTATTGTTTTCGTGACAACCAGTAAATCAGCGTAATGAGATGTATTCACCCAATTTCGTGTAAGGTGATGAAGGACTGGTAGAAGAAGAATTTCCCCACTAAGATATGAGTTGAGCGGGTGTTTTACATCGAACTTCACATTTCATCATCTCAATTCATATCATATCACATCACATCACATAACTCCACCTCACATTATATAATTTAACCTCACATCACATCACATTACATCAGCTCAA